AACACAGAGATACAGACACTGTTAATCACAGACACACACAGGAACACAGAGATACAGACACTGTTAATCACAGTCACACACTGGACCACAGAGATACAGACAGTGTTAATCACAGTCACACACCGGAACACAGAGATACAGACACTGTTAATCACAGACACACTGGAACACAGAGATACAGACACTGTTAATCACAGTCACACTGGAACAGAGAGATACAGACACTGTTAATCACAGTCACACACGGGAACACAGAGATACTGACACTGTTAATCACAGTCACACACCGGAACACAGAGATACAGACACTGTTAATCACAGACACACACAGGAACAGAAAGATACAGACACTGTTAATCACAGTCACACACTGGAACACAGAGACACAGACACTGTCAATCACAAACACACACTGGAACACAGAGCTACAGACACTGTTAATCCCAGTCACACTCTGGTAATAAGGTGTCAGTACAGTCAGTGCTGTCAGTCAGCAGAGTTATGCACAGTGTATGGAGAGTCAAACTTATTCACTCACCAGTGAGTTTCTCCTTCCCTGCAAAGAAACACAGACAATTATGTTAAGACACAGGACTAAGGGTGCAGAATTTGGGAAATTATTTTCGCCATTTTTCTATTACAACACATTCTGTATTTCACTGAACAAAAAATACACAAGAACAAGAAACATTTCTACTTATCTAGCCCATGTTAATAGTTAACCAATCCAAGGATCTTTAACAGCTCTTTCTGCTGTGCACTTCCTCACAACTGAGCCCTCTTATATCAGTTTTCTGTGATAAATTAGAGGGTCTGGCACTGTCTACATGTCATCTGTGATTTCCACTTTAGGGTCATCCCACCCCCTCCTGCCACATGATTGTGTTTGACCAATGAAAACAGAGCTCATGGCTGACAGACACATAAAGACAGTCTCTGCTATCAGGAGGTAAAATAAACAGGAAGATATGGGGGGTCTTTTTGAATTGGCTTGGCTTGACTATGGTGAAATTGAAGATATTTCCGATCTAATATAATCATTGAATATATATGTAGCCACTTCTCCCTTCTCTCCCTATGCTCCAGGTTTGCCCTGTAGGGATCTGACTTTAACACAGTGGACACACTCTGACCCTTGACCTCATGTATTAGTAAAACTGTAGATCCTGCAGTAACAGCAGATTAACAAAGAGTCCCCACCCAGCAGAAGATCAGTGATATCAGTCACAAAGTGAAGATGGAATATAAGCTCCACATGAGATCAGAGGTCTCTAATCAGAACCCAGAGAGGATACTGGACATTGAAGTGGCCAGAACTGGTAGATGAATAGATCACTGTGTCAGCAGATACACTTGATCCTTACATGCACAGACAGGACAGATGACTGGATACTGCAGTTGTGTGGATTCAGTGATGTGAGTTTACAGTGATCTTCATGGACAGGATATCAAGGCTCAGTCTAGGTTTGGAATGAATCCAGCCTGGTGGTCTAAGGGCTGCAACTCTGCTGTTTGAGGATGATGTTGTCTCCCCTGTCTCTCTGACTGTGATAACAGAGTGAAGAGCTCAGCAGTCTGGGAGGACTTTGGAGCAGAGTCACTGCTCCTCTGGATCGAGAGGAGCTGGTTGAGCTGGTACAGGTATCTGGTGAGGAAGCCCCTCCAGGCTCCTCCTGCTGGAGGTGTA